GTATTGCCTTGTACCAATTTTAGTCAGGCCTGTTTTTTGAGCTAAATGGGACTTAAGGGTCTCTCAGACTCCAAACAGAAAATAAGGGATATAGAGGATTTGTGGACGTGTTTTTCTAAAGTGATTATTCTTCTTCCCTCGTTGTCCGTTCCAAAATGATGAACCAGAGGACCCTGTGTTCCTCTCGAACCACGGCTATTACTTCAAAGTACAATGCCTCACTCAAATGTTATAATTAGACTGTCGACGAAAGGTGTTCACAAAAGGCATAAGATTGATCATTTTTGGAGTATAGTCCCAATTTAAAGATCCTCGTCGCTCTCAAGTTTTTTAGTTTTAAGAAGTTTATTCCCTCAGTTTAGGGCTTTCAAGTCAACAAGAGTTTTCACATTTTTCACAACAAAATGTGATTTATTTCTGCACGAAAAAGGATGTGCAGTGAGAAGAAAAGTAGAACAGGACTTCATTTTATCCATTGAGAAGTGACTGAATTGTGAAGTCTCTTGATATGAAAGGTCTTTGGACGGGAGGGGCTGAAAAAAGACTCGATGATGTCAGCTGAAAAGAAAAGCAATTTCAGTGCTGGACCAAGTTCATTATTCAAATTTACATTTTGATGAAAGATTACAAAGACAAAAGTGTTTCAATTGTTGTTATATTTGTAGCCTCCTCTGTATTCTTGCACAGTCCCTGCATTGTAAGGCAGGTTTTTCTTCAATTAGGCTGTTGGTTGCAACCTGCTCCAGATACTTGCTTGCTCCAAATTGTCCATATGAATATTGGATATGCAGGGAGCAAACTGATTCCCCATTGCAGTTCCATGGACAAAAAATTATTGTATCACACTCAACTGTAGAACATCCAAAGGGGCTTCTTCACCTGGCCTACTTGAGTCAGCATCTACTAAATGCTTGTTCTACTTCTTTTAGACTGCTTTTTGATATTCATGAAAGTATACACTACATAAACTAAAATATTAGCAATGAAAAGCACTGATTCAGGAGAGATGGTTTCTCGTAATGACTACTTTCAGGTTTTAAAACCTATCCTGGTCATCCATCAGACCATTCAGAAATGTTCTTCCACCTGTAATCATGCTAATGAGATTCCCATTCGGATGACTCAGTGACAGCTCCTAAAACAAAACCCACACCATATTAAAATTCTCTGTGAACATTCCAGCACCCAGAAGGGGATTCTGAAACAATAAAATCCATCAGTGTCAAAGTTTCTACATGATATTTAATATTCTTTTACAGATACAGGTGTGTAAATAAGCCGTTTTGTAGATAATTTTACATCTAGCATCTAGCAACTATCGCTGTTCACCCCCTGAAAGTTTCACCAATTTTTAAGCTTAGTTTTGTCAGTTTTCCTACTGTACAACTTCACATGGCTAATATGGTTCCCAGATTACACCATTTTGTTTCTATGAAGACTTCACCCAGAGGTTTTTCACTGATTCCGGAAACTCAGCAAACTTGACTTTTGTGGGCCATTGACAAATCGCTCACCATCTCGCAAAAACAAAAAATGCAATTCATCAGACTCAGCAAAATGATATTATTGAAACAGAACAGTATGATACCGTCCAGCTGAAATACATATACAGCAGAATCCAGATCCACGGAGATTGTGTGTTTTGGCCACAGCCAATTAGTTGTCTCTCTTGAGACACGCCCACTATGGGAAGAACCAACTTTAGCATCCCAGAGGGATTTCAGAGTTCTGCTAAAGCTGCATTTTGACTTTGGTATGGATTGTCATGTTGCTGAATCAGGATTTAAACATCACCCTAGAAGTGACTAGACCCATCTCGATGCTACGTTAGCAAAACATTTACCAGTTGCCAAATATAAGTAAATTGTGTTCGACAATAATTTAGTGTCTAAGACTGGCGTGCTATCTCCATTGTTTACTGCATATACTATTAGTGAGCTGATGAAATATTACAATCTACTTCCCAGTTTATGTACTTATAATGCTGAATGATGGTTTGGTGAAACATGGACAACCATTACAGCAGGCACTGACAAATAAATTGCAAGGCTCCTTTGTAGTCATTTCATTTACATAGCTGAAACACTTTCTGTGGTTGACTTGCATCTCACAATAGAAGAGCTGAGTCAGCAAAGCATAGCCGTAGAGTGATTTTGTTCGCTCAGGATGCTCTCAGCACTTACCTGTAAACATTCAATTAAGACACCCTATTCAATAATGGACGCAGGCACATGTACACTGTCCAAATCATTTTCAAATTGATTTGTTCGCTTTCAAGGCCTTGGAAATCTAGGCCTATATTGAGTAATTGAAAAATATGTTTGTGTATTTGAAAGGGCAAACTTTATTAATAACACACACAGCGTTGGCCGCAAGCCACCTGTTAAGTTTGTATTTGCGAAAGAACAATCCATCAGTGCCTTACTATATTTTTTTTGCCACCATGGCTTGGCTGCCTGAGAACCGACTATACGAAGAAAATTCATCTTATAGCTGGCTTCATTTAAACACTTTCCTTTACTAAAAACAAGAGCTGCTATTAGATGTTTCACCAAAATGAAAATTCTATCTTTTATTCATTCTCATGTCGTTTCAAACCTGCAGGCCATTATTTCTTCTTGACTTCAAAATAAGATTTTTTTTTTCTTTTCTGTGTACTCAGTAGAGTACTCAGGAATACCTAATTGTGATTAATCAGTTACGATATTTATCATATATTTTCACTGATCTCTGTATATTTATTCCTATACACTCTTAGAAAAAAAAAGTGCCAGAATTGTACCTTTAATAAAATTATATACTCTAGAATGTTTACTAATGTTGCCTACTTTTATTAATATTGGTATATTTTATACTACAGACATTCTAAATACTATTATTCTCAACATGGATTTAATCCTCTATTTTAAGTTATGGAACCTTAAAAAAACTATGTGCAATTGGTTTCCAACATTGTTTAAAGTAAAATGAACTTACTTTAGTAGTACAGAAGACTTGCAATTATCTGTTAGAGTCACTTTAGTCCTACTTTAGTCCATTAAATTGTACAAAACATGGCTTAAACTTAAGCCTGTACATTCCATCAGTACATTTTTCAAAATGTCTCGTGTTCCACAAAAGAGAGCCATAGATGCCATCTCGTATGAGCATCTATTTTTTTGGCTCCCCTCTTTCCTCTCCTCCCTCTTTTCCTCTATTACCACCCCTTTTTGCATCTAATGACACATGCTCTTATAGTTTTGCTCTTTCTTCATCCCTCTCTCTTCTCGTCTGTGGGTAATTAGCAGTGTTCTGCTTGATGAGATTAAAGCAAGGGATTAATCAGAGCACTAATTGATCGACACGGCCGCAGAGAGTTCCAATCCCCTACAGCTCTCACTCTCTCTGTGTGCCGACTTATTGAAACCGCAGAGATAGGCTACTCATAGACAATTTTGGTACATGAAGAATAGATAAAACAGAACATGTTCACCATTAGTATGCAAAGGGTAACAGAGATGCAGAGAGAGAGAGGGATGCAGCGAGCTGGAGTTGTACTGATGGAAACAAATGGAAGAGCACTGATAAACTGTCAGTATGTACTGTATCTGTCTTTAAAATGGGCAAGAGGTTAATAAATGAGATCAAAACCAGAAGAGCTGTGGCATGCTTTAGAGGTTAGAGAGTCCAAACCAAACTCCCTTGTCTTTCCCTTCATTTTAGTGGTCATTTAAAACGGTGTTTTTATCGTGACAAAGTGACTTAAAAATGTGCTTTAAAATTATGCTTTAAAAAAGGCAAGTTGCGAAGCATCAGGCAAAAGTTGTCTAACGCAATTTAACATAGACTAACAATTAAACAATATTGTAGGTGGTATACAAGACCATGTCCTGAGTGGACGATCCCTAAATGTACCTTGAACATATGGACAAACTCCACTGCAACATAGATTGCAAGATGATAGGTTTATGATATGGAAATATTAACTTTCAACTTTATTTTGTTTTTCTCTGCAAATATTTATATGCAATTATTTGCAAATTAACCAATATATCAAGAAATTAATGCAATTATAATGTTAAACTGATTGATAGTCCTAATAAAGCATAAAGCAAAAAGCATTTTTTGAAAAAAAAAAAAAAAGAGATGAGAAAGTAACTTTTATAACATTTTTAATCTCATTACCCAATTGTAATTTCATACATTTTCATGGTCTTAAGCTTTAATCCACTCCCAGCGATTCGTCATTAGTGGTGGGCCTTATGTTTTAATTATGCCATATGCCCTTTGAGTACACTGACCTTTCACTGGGTCATGTGAAAGAACTTCATGGCTCATTTAAAAACATGTGAAAAATCTAGGGAACTTTCTGTCAGATAAGTGTTGTCATCACTGGACAGAGTGCTTCATTATTAATGCTTCTGAAGGCAAATGTGTAGGAGGAGCAGTCATCCAAAGTTATGTTAAGTCAATGTTAATTTAATGGTAATGCATGGAAATCCAGAAGTTCTAATGATAATCACGCTGCCATTTTAAAATGGCCCGATTTTATGGCTTAATCAGAAACCCCATACTGGATATATCAGCTAAATTCAATTGTCACTTGATGGCATAATGCAATGCTCACTCATGCCCAGAAAACATTATGACAAGCAGCTGAAAGAAACATGGAAGTATGACAGAGAAGAAAAGAGACATGAACCTATTATGGACAGGACAGAGACTTGAGAATTTTTCTTTTTTCTTTTTTTCAAAAAATGTGATTGTTTATTCTCTAAAGCACATCCAATATTTGAGATGAATGGAAAGAGAAATCAGTTACACTGAATGGTGGAGCAGGCATGATTGTAAGCTTCTCTGCAATGCAGGTTTAGACCCTTATCCAGGGACAGAACGGACGAGGCAGACTTTCTTCAGAACGACAAGACAAAAAGAACACTGCTGCATTTCTCATAGCCAAAGAATAAACGTAAAACCTAGGAGAAAAATACAAAAGACAAACATATAAAAAGAGATTTAAAAAATCCTACAGGATATAGATAAACACACACTCACATTCACACACAAACAGGCCCAGACACTGTCATTTAGCCCGACTTGGAGCTTGAAGAGCAGCAAATGCTTCAAATAATACTTCAACAATAAGTATTTTACAGCATTTTAAACATTTTGAATCTTTTTTTGTTTGTTTTTTATTTTTATTTTTTTCAGATTATATTTATTCCGTATGGTGTATATTCTTTGCCAACTACTTTTCACATTCTGACCACAGAGGAACAAGTGCGAGAGATTTGAGACATTGTTTTGAAAGAAGTCATGCACGTATAATATTTGAATCAACTTATAAAGTTAGAAAAGGGGAATGTTCAAGACAAAAAAAGAAGGTTTCTTCTGATGCAGTCCTTTTAGAGTCGGGTTTCTTCAGCCATCACTTTTAGTCTCACTGTCTGGCAACTTGTCATGCCTAAATTACCTTTACAATTCGGAAACGCAACACAAAATCGTACAAGGCAGGCAAGAGTATGAGCTAAAAGGCATTCTCCAGTAATATTTTTTCTTATTTGAAAATAAAGACCTTGATTTTTTTACACAACCATCACACAACATAACATTATATGGTCGTGGTCGGTCAAGTTTGAAAAAAACCAAAACCAAAAAAAAAAAAACTATGATTTTTCGAATTGGATCACTGTACTTCATACGCTCCAATTTCTCAAAGGAGAATGAGATTTCTGAAGGGAAAATGAGTCCTGTGTTTATCAACAAAAGTCTTGAAAAAACATTCTCTGTTTCCTTTGTTTGTTTTCCACATAGTAGTCAAAGAGGCGTTCTGCACCGGTAATGCAGGGATGAAAGGAAAGCAAAAGGTAGTTGAGAGGAGCAGACAGGAACGGGGGAGTGTGTGCCCAACAGAAGAAACTTTTCAAAATGGCAACCGACCCTGAGATTGCAGGAGTCCGATACAAAACACACCACAAAAGGCACTTTATCAACAACAGTGCTTCTGTTCTACTGAAATTCAAGTTGAGAGAAAAAGTGTGTGTGGAACTCTCTTTAGTGATAAAGCGAACGGAAAAACGAGCGTGCGCACTTATTCCCGCACGCCGAGAATTCCTTGTCGCAACTCGATTCCATCTTGAGCCTCTAGGCGGTCCGAGAGGAGTGACAAAACAACACTGAAGAAACCACAACGCGAAATATTGTAAAAAGCCGTAAAATACTTGTGGATTGCAGCAAAGGTCCAGAGCAGGCTGCAGGGCAATATCCTCCCCTGTCGATGCCTCCGTAGCGTGCAGAGGAACTTTAGTTGAGAGATAATCAGCCCACTTGGAGGCTTGGCGTGCGACTTCTCGATAAAACATCCGAGAAGCCAATTGTCCCTCCTGGCCCTCTCCGTTCCCCTCCGTCTTCCTCGCGTTCCCACCTTCAGTCCTCTCCCCCTCCTCCGTAGAGGTCTGCCAGCTTTTTGAAGCGAGGACCCCAGTCATTGAGGTAGTCGTAGTCCTGTTCTCCAGAGCTGGAGGAGTCCAGGGAGCTAACAGAGCCTGCTGTGGAGCCGCTGCCCTCGTAGTCAAACACCAGCAGAGAGTCGTAGGGGGGAGCAGTGGGGTCATTATCCGCCGCGCGCAGACCCTAATACGAGAGAGGGAGAGAACGTGAGATGAGGCTGCTGGAACAGACGCATACAAAGTGATCTGAAAGCCGCTGCTGGAAAGTGCTTCAAGGGGTCACATCAGGAGGAATCAAATTTTCCTTGATCATTTGAGATGAAAGACCTTGATGCACTATGAAAACACGCTGTAACATCCTGCTCAGTGAAAAAGACCATTTTTTTTAAACTAAGCTGCAAAAATGACGACATTTCAAATTAAAACTGTGTTTCCTTCCTATGCCCCTCAGCAGGCATTAGTTGAACTTGAGGTCTAACTAGATTATCTTCATGATAAGAAACAGAGGGAGCATACGTCAATGATGAACTCCCCGATGTCCCCTGGGTGTGGCACTGTGGGCCGGACAGGGTACTGAGATTCTAGGATAACTGGTCTCTCGTCCACTCTCCGCACACCTGCAGGCTTGCTCATTATGTGATCTAGAGACTCGGGCTGCTGCAGCTGACTCAGATCATAGTCCTGCAACCGAAATAAAAATAGACCAGGTCACGTCTGAAACAAGGTCAGAGATGCTCTTGCAACTGACAAAAAAGCAGCAAACTATTGAAAAGTTCAAAACGGCCTTGACTCGAAAATCGATAACTGCATGACATGTGTGACACTGACCTGATCTTCCTCTCCTCCTCCCTCTTCATCATACTTCAGGATATTATCTCTGACGTCATCCTCAGGGTCGATCAATAAGGGTTTCGTCTGACGCTCCTTCTCCCTTCGCTTCACCCACACCACAAAGAACAGAACCATACCTAAAAAACAAACATACAGGGGCGTCATGCACCTATTTTCTCATTTTGACAGGGCACCAGTGGTGGTCCAGACGTATTTAGTGCCTTAGGCAAGATAAGACATGATCTAAGAAAACAAAACACTTTCTGATGCACTTATATATAGTTGAAGTTTAGATGTGTAAGTCTACTGGTACAGTATACTGTTCTGGGGTTGGTAAGCTAAAAAAAAAAAATCTCTTATTCTCACCAAAGGCTGCATTAATTTGTTTAGAAATACAGTGAAGCAACAGTTTAATATTTAGCTTTAAATATAATTTATTCTTGCGATGGCATAGATGAATTTGCACTGCTTGATATTTTTGTGGAAACTGTATAAATGTTTTACAGGATTCTTTGATGAATACAAAATTCAAAAGAACAGCATTTATTTGAAATAGAAATCATTTGTAACATTATAAATGTCTTTACTTCCATATAATATAATATAATGTAATGTAATAAATATTTTTTGGAAGTTTATAATATAATTTAATATATGATACTTTTTGGAAGTCGCATTTAAATTTTTAGATGGCACATGCATTGAATGGCAATAGTCCTGTACATATTTCTAAGGAGTCTTTGTTAGGAGGTTCATAAAGCTGAGAAAATGTTGACTGACAGTTCAATGAAAATGAATAATCAAAAATTAAATGACATGTTGAAAGGTTATTAATCACAATTTACTGATGTTGTGGAGATTTGATTTTGTTGCATTCTTTGATTTAATCATCTATTCATTTATAAATCAAACCATCAATCTGCACGCTAATCCATCCATCACTTACTGAGCAGTATAATGATACAGATGAGGATGGTGATGATGGCTCCGGTTCCCAGCCCGGCCACAGTCACTGCCCCGATCACAGTACAGTCTCCGTTTTCATCACAGGGACACACCTTCACCATCAAAACAGAGGTGTTGGACAGGGGAGGGTTTCCCGAGTCGGAAACTAAAATGGGAACTCTGTACATGCCTGCCTCCAGGTACGGGATCCGGAGCTTCAACTGGGCATAATTACCTAGAAAGAGATAGAAAATTAAATATTTGGATATTTTTGGAAACTATATTTACATATTAACAGCAAATCTTTTTTCTATCCACTATTAATAATGTTAGATGCATTATCTTGAAGGAAAACCTTTTAACTGACAGCAAACGCATTAGCTGAAGTTAGAATGACCTGTTGAAATGGTAAAAGCCTTGAATACTTTGAATTTGTAATATGTAAAATCCAAGTCTAACCATTCAGGCGTGAAATGGTCCAGTTACGGCGGGCAGAAGAGGGGTAAGAGGGCAGCTCAAAGACATATGGGCCGGCATTGGGCTCTGAATCTAAATCCGAGGCTGTGATGTTGACTGGATACCCGTGTCGTGACCTCTCGCAGACCAGAGCCTCTTGAGGAACTAAGACAGGCACGTTGTCATTCACATCTATCAAATAAATCTGGACAGTACCAGTTCCTGTGGCAGGAGGGGAACCTAAGAGACAGAACGAGGATAACGACAGTCAGGGGTTAGGGTCATAAAGTTTATGTATTCGTCCTGAAAACTCTCAATTGCGTCAGATATAAGAAATGATAACTGCACATAAATATTTCACACAGCTGTTTTCCCTTTAATAGAGCTGGGCTCTCTCAGAGGACAGATATGTGTAATAACTTTGCCTGAAGAAACAGACATAGCTGCTCCCTACGGCTGTGTGTGAATCAAAGACAAAAACAGAGGTCAGATATATACCTACACGCTCTCAAAACACAATCTGCCATCACAGACGAGGGGCATTTGTGGAAAACATGGCACGGTATCATTCCCAAATCTCTGACTGAGTAACAGGCTAGATATTATAAAGATCGATTCTGTCAAATTCTGTTATTAGAAGGTCCGATATGAGTCTAAAATACAACCCGTCAACCCTGGACATCTTGGACGTATTGATTTAGGCCAATATGCCTTTGTCCTGACAAGGCCTGCCACTACGGACACCTTTGAAAACTTCTGGGAAAAACACACCAAGACAGGCAGATGGATTGGTCAATTTCCTAATCATACCAACCTCCCCTGAAGTTTTCTGAGCTTTTGAAGCAATACCCTAAGTTAAGCAATTTCAGCTTCTACATTTTAAAGAGTCTGACGAAAAATAAACAGGCAAATAAACGGTAATATACATCTCCTTTCTGATAATCAAAAATATAATCAAACACGCTCGCCTAAATCATTAATAATTCATTTTAGTGGATTGGTTTGGTTTCATTTAGATCAATTCAATTCAATTGCAATTGGTTCATTTAGATCATCCTCTCTCATATGTATTGTAATGTTGGAAAGTCGGATTAATTCCAATAAATCAGTTTGTCCTAAATAGTTTTCTTTCCCTTTTTTTTACCTATGTAGAATTGGATTTGATTTATTGCAGAAAACTGGTTTGTCCTTAACAACCTTATTTTTCATATGTAGCATTGGAAAGTCTGAGTCATCTTAATAAATCAGTTTGCCCTAAATGATTCTTCCTCAGAAGCATCTTTTGAAAATCTGATTCATTCAAGTAAATCAGTTCGTTCAACTATCCACTTTCTCAAATGTAGCATTCGATGGTCCCATTTATTTTAGTGAACTGGTTTGTTGAACAGTTCCTGTAAATAAGCATATTAAAAAAAAACAATTCACACATTTATCAGTCCCTCATCCTCAAAACCCTAAGCAAAACTAAGTGAGTTAAAACAACACAACCTAAACTACATTAAATATGGGTTCACTTGTAACGAGGATAAGCATTTGTCCTATTCATACCAACTCTTACTAATGTTTTTTTGATGGTGTTAAGCAATTCGTCTGTCTATTTAGGAAAGTTTGTGTAAAAATGGGCAGGCAAATCAACTGCGATTGGACAGCAGCTTTGTTGGAATACCTTCTTGGTTGAATAGAGCACGAGAATGAAATCCAATCAGATTTGAAAAATGCCCCAGTGCTGATAGGTTATGAATCGATAGGCTGTGAACAGCTTTTTGGCTCTGTGGGACAAATTAAGTTCAAGCTAACCAACTTCTCTCCAAACTGACCTACCCAATCGTTTAAATCCATTTGTTTCCCCAAACACAGCATCGACACTCAAAGTGTTGATTTTGCTCAAACTTTCCAACTCCCCCCCTCCATTCTTACCATTGTCTATGGCCAAAAAGGTCGCTTCATACACGTTTTTCTTCATATATGGCGATTCGCGGTCCAGCACCGCCGTGGTGGTAATTCTTCCATTGGTCCTGTTGATTTTCAGCCAGTTGGCTGGATCTGACAGTTTGGAGTACCTGAAGGCCAAAAGCATTTGTTCATCAGATTACTCTGGATAAAAATCCATAAGCATCCGCAAGACGCGGCCATAGAGCTCAACATTCAATCATAATTTATGCTGTAACAGTATGGCTGAGGGTAATAATGTAGAACTTTGAGATCATCAATCCATTTAAATGCCGTTAAAATCATATTTAGTCTGTTATGAGGATATAGCATGTGGATTATTAAGATATGTCCCTCATTCAGTCACAGCACGGGTTCTGTTCTGATCAATGGATCTGCACAGAGAAATGTGGAAACATTTACACTCAATCAAATCACAGATGTGACACATAATCTTTCTTCTATATATTATTGGGTAATGTATCAGGCTTCTGCGCTATTAATCCAAAACACTGAAGTTAAAAACAGTTACAGCCTATTCATCTGCCAGACCGGGTCTCAAAAGTTGGTAAGAATGCCATTGCATCGATTCGCTACTGGTGTTCGATTATTAGCGCAAATTATTTCAGTATTGCTAATAATCAAGCCCACACTGCATCTTTTTGTTTATTTGTTTGCTAAGCACTTTCCTGTGACTTACTTGAGCCTATAACATTGATAGATTCGGAGAGTGAGAGCGTCACAGTGTGGACCATATTGATCGAACCGTTCCTCGCACACAGTGATCTATGAAGCAAGTCTAGTGAAGTTCCCCAAGTGTGAGAGTGAACGTGCAGGGAGGCAAACTTTGGATCGATACTTCAAGCTGGCATGTTGCCCGCACACTTCTGAGTCATGGAAAACGACTGATAGAGAGAGAGGGAGAGACACAATAGGAGCAGCAGTGTGGGGAACGGTTCGGCTCATTACTCGACGACCTTTCACCCTGTTGCTTGGCAACCCAGGCACAACCAAGGGACTAGAACAGGAGCGAGTCAATTAAAAGCATTTAGCTGCTCCCGGGGTGCTAATGGTGCGAACGATATGTGCTACATCACTTGACATACAGCGCAGTATGGAAATTGCATGTACTTCTGACGTTCGCTTACAAAGTCAGGGGCTGACCTGCACCCGGGAGTGATGGATTTGTTTTAAGCCTGGTTTCTATAAAAATTGCTCTTAAACTCACTAGTCAAATAAAGCCCTCATGGATTCATGGGAATTTTAAAACTCAAGCATGATTCAGCAGAAAACTGAAAAGTGAGAAGTGTGGGTAGAACATACTAGACTTTATGTGGCGGACATCTTGATTTGCTATTCATGTGTGTCACTCAGCTAATGAGCGCTTTATGTAAATGAACAATAGCAATTGCTGACTCAATCGATCATTCAAAAAGACACCGGACCGAAACAATTTAAAAGCATTTAATTAACAGTATTGTTGTTATGAGACATAAATAAAACAAAAATACGTTTTCACGCAAATGCGGTGTATAATTGTGCACTTATATGTAGGTCAATAATGTGACAACGATTTTTTTTTTCTCTTCTAAATAAGTTAGTAAAAATACATTAATGACTGGACTATACATCCATGATATACATACTCAATATGTGAATAAAAATACATTTAGATTTTTTTGTAGGGCTTAATAAACTGTAACTGCAAAAAATAAAAACCTAACAACCTAAAAAACAACATTATTATTATTATTTAAAACACTGTTAATGTTTTAAAAACTCTGTGTGGTGTAATAATCATGTAGAAAGCCATAAAATAGGAAATTATATAACAGAGTGGACTCCTGAGGTCGTTATTATCATGACAAAAAATATGAAAACAAAAAAAAAGACATTTTGAATCTTTTTTTTTTTTTTTAAAGAATGATTAGGATATATAGCCTATGCTGAAGTGCATTTAGTGTGTAAGAAAAATGTATGACATTTTACTTAATGGTTACATCACTTGACATTGAGTTTTTTAATCAGACTTTTTGACTGAAAAAGGTATAAATATTATAAAAAAAATGTATAAAAACAACTTGAAAATTAAGTGAATATTAATAATAACCTGTCATCTTTGGAGTAAACTTAATTTTTTTTCCCTTTTTATCATTGTAGACACACTGTCAATAACCTATGTGTGTGTTTGAGTGAGTAAGAACATAAATGATTGACATTTACGGTCACTCAGAAAGATTGACATTCCGAGTTTCCAACAGACAGACAAAAGCACCTGCTGTCATTCCTCTCTACCTGATAGTCTGCTGGATGAAGCGGTCTGGATCCAGTGCCGCAAAAGTAGCGAGGGTGGTGTCAGCAGGCACTCCCTCTTCAAAACGGATGATTTTAGGGTTGGAAGGAAAGACGGGAGCCTCGTTGACATCCAGTACTTTGATGGAAACAGCAGCAGAGGAGGACGGCGAGGAGGGGATCCCGCTGGCCAGGTGAGCTTGGTTCGACACCACCACCATCAGCGTGAAGGCATCATTCCTCTCATAGTCGACCGGCTACACATATGCACACAAACACAAAAGTTCCTTCAGATTTCAAACAACTTGATTGTGCTCTGATTCAATGCTTTTTTGATTCAATTAAACCATTCAATGAAACAGCAAAACCCATTTCAATAAGACATTAAACTAACTCTTCACTGTCAGGTTGAATGAGACTCCAAAAGTGTAAGAAGAGGAACAGAAAGTGACTTCAGTTTGGAGATGAAGTGAACCCTAGAGTAAAGGTTAGAAGGAGTTGACGAGGAGATGAGCGTGAGAGGACCAGCTGTTCCGTGGGTAGAAATGTGGTGTGCCGAAATGCATGTGACCATGAAAGCTGTGTAACACTTCCAAAAAGACTGAAATACATTTTTGCCGAAGGCTTCTATTGCTCTCTCTCACACACACCATGCAAATGGCCAAACACTTTAATATTGGAGCAGTAAAGGCTACAAAACTGGGGGGAAAGATAAAAGATTACGCATCATAGATTTCTTATTTTGTTTTTTATTTTTTTCAATTTATCTGTGAACTATTTACCTGTGTTGGGTTGCAATCTCCTGCTTCTTCCATTACCATTGTTTTAGCAGTTTAAAGTATTATTTTTTACCATTCGTTAAATTGAAAAGGTTTTAATATGAATAGTACTGAGATATGCTGAGGAATTGTTTTTAGATTTCTCATTAATTTCTAAGTGGAAATGATGCTTTTCTAAAGCTAATTCCAGGTAAAGCTGTTCCGTGTCTGAAGACAGAGGAAATACTGTACAGTGGATGAGAGTGTTGAATGTTTGAGTATGCAGAGTTAAAAATCAAAAGATCAGCAGTCTGAGAACCACGAACAATGTTTGACAATGTAACCAACTGGATACACCTACCTTAACCACTATGACCTTGCCGTCATTGGTGACTTCATCAGTGCGTATAGCGAAATGGCCCATCGCATCTCCTCCTGTAATCCTATAGACGGCGTTCCAATTTGGTGTATGAGGCTGGTCCTTGTCTCTGACTGTCAAATTGGCCACAACCACACCCACAGCATTCTCTGGGACCTCTCCTAGGAACTAAGAGCAAGAGAAGAAACACATAAAATGAGATGCTAAAATACTTTTAAAACAAACATAAGTTTTTTAAGCATACCATAAACTTCAAAATGTATTCAGACAGTGAAAAATGCACAAACACAAAATCTTAAAAAATTCAAACACTCACTACAAAATTGGACCAACTGATTCGAAAGTTAATTGCAAAAATTACCAAAAAAATAAAAAATAAATAAAAAATTAGTTTCTACTGCAATGGAATTCATACATATTAGGATACCAAATACTTGGGAATAATTAGGGCCAATCTATTACAGGGACAATTGACTTGAAGGAACCTACAGTTCAGTGTCCTGCTCAAGGCACAATGGTAATGGTTCATGGGTTATTACCAAACAGTTCCTTGAGGGCTTTGTTCTTGGACTGGTCAGCTTTTTTGGGATGGCTTCCGAATATAGCAATAGTTCAAGGTAGCATTACAGACAGTGTTAGGGGTAAGTTTTGGTTCTCATTTGTTACACATGGCTCTTGAAAGAATATCACACTCTAGCTATACCCACAGCCCAAGGTGCAAATGTGCGGCAAGCTGTAGCACACAAACACAAGCTCATTACAGCTCAGTAATCTGCTGTTTAAAGGGGTTATGAAGTGTGTCCGCCAGATGCTGTTTACAGTAATGGCATCACTATGCAGCAGACACTACAGCCAAATACACACTGCTACATGCTCAGACCTGTGCTGCAGTGGAGGCTATTTACTTTTAAGTGTAGCTTCTTAAGATTAAAGCTACTCATTATTTAAAGTATTAAAGCTTTAGAGCTACTCTAAAAAGTCAGGTACACTACAAGCTACTAACAACAGCTACTATACTAATATGAACTAATTAGCTATTCTTAAAGTAGTTAGCTACTTGATAATGTATTTTGCCACACTACAAGGTACTAATGAAAGCTACTATACTAATTATGACTAATAAGCTTGTGACGAGTGGGGCGGGGCCGAGAGCCATGGGAACGGAGCGAGAAGAATAAAAAGGAGGAGTGACGACAGTGAGACTCGAGACCGGTGAGTGGTGCAGGTGTCACTCATCAATTACTCCACCGGCCTCGCTCCGTTCCCACGGCTCTCGGCCCCGCTCCACTCATCACAAAGCTATACTAAGAGTAGTTAGCAAAATAAAATTAGCAACACTAACAGCTACTAACAAGCAAACACAAACTAATTAGATATTCATAAAATAGTTCGCTACTTGAAAAGTAGTGCACAAGATACTAACAAAAGCTACTATACTAATACGGACTAACAAGGTATTCTTAAAGTAACGACAAAACTAGCCAAAATGCTAAAAGCTGTAAACATGCTAACAACCCTAACGAAAATTAATCAAGGTTTTTTTTTATAGTAAAAATGTAGTAACCATGTTTTTTTGGTGAATTGAGTGCCATTTGTATAACCACAGTTTTACTACAAATACCATTGTTAAACTGGTTAGTATAGCAAAACCATGGTTAATTTGTGGTTACCATGGTTTAACTGCTTTTTTTTTTTATTTGTAGTACAACCATGGTTAATTTTCGTAAGAGTACTTACATTAACTATACAATAGCTATTCTTAAAGTATTTAGCTACTTGAAAAAGTAATTTATTACACTACAAACTACTTATGAAAGCTACAATACTAATAAGGACTAATTAGCTATTTTTAAAGTAGTTAAATACATGGAAAAATAGTTGCTACACTACCAGATACTAACAAAAGCTGCTATACTAATAAGGACTAAGTTATTTTTAAAGTAGGTAGTTAAAAAGTTAGCTTCACTACAATCCACTAACAAGCAAACTATATATTCTTAAGAAATTAGCTACACATCAAGCTACTAAAAAAAGAAACTTTAAAATAAAGTTTATTTTATTTCCTACCATATTAACAATACATTTACAACCAATGCAACTAATAAACTTCATAATTTCTAAAATGGTGTAAAAAGCTTAGATTTTTTTTTTTAAGATTTATTTTTGTTTTTTTTGCCTTTATTACGATAGGACAGATCAGCGCTGACGGGAAGTGAGAGAGAGAGAGGGGGGCGGGATCGGGAAAGGTCCTTGAGTTGGGATTCGAACTTGGGATGCCCGTAGCACACTGCCCACAAGGCTATCGACTCTGACAAAAGCTATGAATTTTTTAACTGTTCATTTAACTGAATAATCCAAATGAACCTAATGAACATGTTATAGGAGTGGGTTTGATTCATGCCTGAGTTTGTTTGATTACAAATGCTACTCATTGGAAAAAGTAGCTTATTAAGTGTTGATAAAAAAAAAAAAATTAATTATCGTTTTTTATTTTTTATTATATACTTAGTAACTCCCCAACACTGGCAAAGATGCTTACATATACACCAGATACTTAAAAAAGAGTAAATGGTGGTTTATTTTCATGGTTTATTGGTTGAAATCGTCAAAAGGAGAGAATGATAGAGAGACAGTAATATCTACTGGCTGTAGTGATGAAAACATCACAGGGCCGTCCCGTCTCTCCGACTGCACGCTGTCTGGAATGCACAGCTGCATTTACTGATAAGCAGAAAAACACTCTGTTGAGATCAAACAAATGTGCTGTGTCCCTTCCAGGATGGGGTGCAAGAGACCAGTAGAGGACAGGACAGTAGAACACATGATTGAGTGACTGATTGATCTGTGCAAAATCAGAGTATGCTTTCTCTATAGGCTACTGCTTCCAGTTAGATAAAAAAAAAATTATCTGGAGGCTAGTTCAATAATATTTTGAAATTGTGTGTATGTGTGTATGTGAAGGCATGGTACATGTGTGTGCGTGCTGTTAAAAAGAATAGGGAAGGAAAGCAATACTTGTTTATGATTTGTGGATTATTGCGGCGGGAAGTTGGAAGAAATTCAGAGGATAGACAAAGAAAATAATTTTTTCTTCCTTTCCCTTGGTGTTTTGGAACCAAGGGCAACATTGGAGCCACATTCTTTTAAAATATATGTAAAGAAATAACTCATTAAAAAAACGTGAGTATCTCATAGGCACCATATTAGATGTGCTAGTTTGATTGTACTTAAAGGCAGAAATGATCTGTGACATCAATGAATTAATTAGAGGAATAATGGATTTACGTCTTTCATCAATATTCAGTACACTTCCATTCAAGTCAGTTGGAAGAGCTAAAGATATTCATTACTAGTAACACTATTTATATTTAATGACAGGCTGAGGGTGATGCCCAATATTATTTTATTTTTAAATCTCACTTCAGTCAAGAGTTTACATTTGAATTTTTGTAAACAGCTCAGTATCAAAGAAAAAATAAATAAAGAAAGAATAAACCATATAAAACATAAAGTTTCTATGGTTTGTTTATTTTTTTCCCATTTTTACTTAAATAAATAATCACAGAAGCCCTAAAGCACATTTTGCAGAGTTGTACTTTCTTTTGACTTAAAAAGTTACAGTAAAACAACCCTAAATCAATGTATTTGTGATATACTTGTTGAATGATTATACCTAATCACAATAATATCAAAAATGTTGATGCTTATAAATGTATTCTTGGGCTTCTGTAAAAAATATAAATAAACAAACAGAACTAGCATTTGCGGTGAGATATTTAGAGAGTATATAAAAGTAAAAATAGAGACAAAACAAAAATTGAGATGAAAAACACGACTACAGAGACGTGATTTTATGGCATTCTAAAGAAAACAGATCCATACCATCGCAGCACATAAACATTAGTGCCTCGCACTGACGATAAAGCCTGTGGTATGCTACTTCCCATGGCGACGAACTCTCAGGTCCACTGTGTTCATCATCTTCTTCTAAACCACCATCATCTTCATCATCATTATAATTGCCATTACAGTCATCATGGTGCTTCAAAACAGAGAGCGATCAGTTATATCTTAAAACGCAGTACTATTTTGCTTCACTCTCCAGAAGCGATGGCTCTTTCCATATTCATGCGGTTTTTACATGAATAAAACATACGGCTGTCTTCAAATTGGAAGCGATATATCTGCTAGGTTTACACCCCCTCAAGCAATTTTGCTTAATTAGCTTGCTTACGTTTCTGAGGGTCTCCTACGGCAAGATGTATACTGCTTCATGCCTCTGTCAAATGCAAATAATCACAGAGCATTTCTACCCTGCTTCGAACTCAGTCTGTGTGGGTGAATGAGAGAGCGAGAGAGGATGGATGAAAAACAAAACAAATTAGTTCTAGCACATAACTCATGAATTCTGCTCGAAAGATGGTGCGTATGTGCTTCAGTGTGCATCTGCGTTTGTCACAAGCACGCAATTGGAAGAAGCGCAAGCCCAATTCCACGGCCTATAGCCATAAAGCGTCGATGAGAAGTTGATTCCGACGTTCATAATCTCAGCTTTAAAGCTTTACTTTAATTAAATGTTTGTCTGCGTTTAACTAGCAACGCACGTGGTGAAGAATTTCATACGCTTACGAGCAAGTCAATTTGCTGTCTGTGCTCCACCATCAAGGTGTTTGATAGTTTTGCTCGTTCTCTTTCTTCCAAGTGTAGGCCTACTATTCCTAAAAAACAGATTCAGCAAGTCTTTCACAAACCGCTGACTGAATCAACAAACCTCTTGCAAGTGTCAGGTCGTGCGAGCACGCCATAAACCAGTTGTGGGTAATTTTCTCTCGGCTCAGTGATATGTGACACAAGTGTTTGTTATTGGGAGCGAGAGCATGTGCCGAGTGTGGGACTTAATTGCTGGTGTCATCTGGGTTAACTTGCTCTGTTAGGACCCGTCATACGCATTGAGCTAAGACAAGACAACCCAAATGCTGGAGTTGTTCTTCTGCTGCACTGTATAATTACGGACGCTGCGATGGAGAAGGACGTGTGCGCCAGAGCACTCTAGCCTGCATGGAGGAAAAAAAACTTTCGAAACTTGACAATTTCAGAAAGTATCAAGAGTAATCAAGTGGGTGGATGAGCAATGAGTTCATTTGATTTTAGTTTTGCTTTCAGTTTCGCTCTGTTTTGCCCTCACTGTTCATTCAGACAGAGAAAGTGTCTAATGCACGGATGAGAGAGTCTTAGTTTGTATTACATAGGGGAGGTGTCACAGAAAAGATGGATGGAGGTCTGTCCTAAGTCCCTACATCCCAACTCTCCATCTCATTCTGGACCATAAGCGATGATAGACCCTATTTTAAATCTGCAATTAACTGAGCTGTCAGCACCCTTAAAAATCTGTGATTGTGTGATCTCTCTTCACGTTTGATGAAAACAGCAGCTGCGGCAGCTATCTGAAGCTGTTCGCTGTGAATACTCATTAAACAACTTTCAAATTTATGTTAAGTATTATCCTTTTCCCTCTAAAAATAACTGTCAATCGAACAAGTTTTGAACTTCTACTTGCACTTAAAGGGATAGTTCACCCAAAAATAAAAATTGTCACCATTGACAGTACTCACCCTCGTGTCATTCCAAACCCATAAGAGTTTTTTTTTCCATCTTTGGAACACAATTGAAGATATTTTTTAATATTGTCTAATCCTTTTTGTCACACACACACACACACACACACACACACACACCGTGAAAGAGTAATCCCAACCCAGGCTCATTGGAGATATGTGCATGTCGCAAATTGATATTACATTGCTTCTTCATTTTTCACGACAGTTTCAAAGTGAAATGTCCAGTAAGTGGTGCTAAAAGTGCATTCATTTCAATTTGGAAAATATTAACATAAATCTGGAAACATTTTTATCACATTGGCTGTTGTATGTATCATGGCAGTTTGGAAATGAAATGGTGAGTGGCACTAAAAGTTTGAAAATAACGGACCACCTACACTAAACCCTCTCCAAACCTAATCAATGTTAACAAAAGCAAACATGAGACAAAAATGTAACTGAAACCTTGCCATGCCATTTTAGCTTACTTCTAAGTCTTTGAGCTGGAATAAAAGTTGTTGGTGTTTTAATAATGTTTATTACAGCTTAAAACTGCAGTGAATTGTATGTGTAAGTATGCTTTTAATATGTGTAAGTATGCTTAAAATAAAAGTTTTGGTTACATGGACTTTCAATGGTGTGACAGAAATCTCTAATTTTCCTTCCTTTGTGTTTCGAAAATGAACAAAATAAACATTCCTCTAAGCAGCATCAGCTCTGGCTCAAGCGAGGGGCATTGGGCCATGACCCCAGGGAGAACCTTTGACCTTGACCCTGTAAATCCTTGAGGCATCCACTATGGGCGTCTATACCCCTGTCAGACCTGTCCACAAGCATCTAGTCCTCAAAAACAACATTTGAGAATAAAATGACACCAATTAAAATGAAGAGCAAGACCGTCTGATGCCAGATGATAGATGTCATACTGATTCACTAACTATCGTTTGGCCTTCAAATAAATATTACAGGTAGAAAAAAATGTGCAAAATAATTCAGAATGCTTCAGCATCAGACGGCGTGGCAGAGGCCCGGGGATATTACTTAATGAGAGAGAGAACGCAAGGGCACCAGAGATGAGCGCTGCGAGAGAGCGATAAAAGAGGGATGGCAGATAGCAGGAAATAAATGGAAACGGAGAGATAGATACCGAAAGCCAGAGAGAAGGATCGAGGGAAGGAGATAAATGGCTAAGCGAAGAAGGAAGGAGAGACAGAGACAGAGATGAAGGCTGACAGAAACAAACACTGGTAAATGTGGGAAGAGAGGTGTAGAGATACAGAGATAAAGAAAACAGGAGATGGAGGATGTACGGAAAGAGAAAGGAGAAAAAAAAAGAGTGGATGAGAGAGGATTGACGCCAGATGCCTGAAGAGAAACTACAGTCACCTAAGGGGCAAAACTGGCACTAGGACAGGAGAGAGAGAGAGAGAGAGAGAGAGAGAGAGAGAGAGCACCTGATCACACATCTCTCTCATTCCCTCTCATCACCTCCCAGAATTCATCGCTCTTAGTGAATCTCTCTTTGTTTCACAGCTCCTGTAGTTCCTCCAGCTGTCAGACAGTATTGTGTGAATTAAATGAGTATCAAGACACTGTTCGAATTCAGAAATCGAGGTAATGAGAGGAGTGGATGCGTCCAAACAGGCAGAGCTCTGTTCCAAAACCTAATCTTAGAAGGCAGCGTCCTAACCGTCATGGCACCTCTGACATACTGATCTGGAGCACTCTACATGAGCAGCAACTATCAGTGCCATACAAATGGAAATCTGGCTTACAATTGCAATTATTTTTTATAGAATTTGATGTTAGCAGAATGATACTCTTATAAGCATACAAATACAAATATTGGGTAAAATAATGCTATAGGCAAGACATTACAGGCAAAAACATGTTTTTTCATGCACTGGTCAGTTTTGAGATTTTGGGTTAAAAGCTGTTTGGCTTTTCATAAATGTTTCAGACTAGTGGGAAGAAAATATCCAAAATACACTTTAAGTGTTAATTTTATTGACCTTTATCTATTTATGTCTGTAGATTTCAATTTTAATACATACCTTTAAAAGCTGTTTCTCAAAATGTGTAGAACTTCAGCAGAACTTGCCTGCAGCAAATTTTACAATTTTATTTCTATCTATATTTTAAATTTTTTTTACAGAGTTTTGTTTATACATTTGTTTTCTTTAACAAAATTTAATTCCTAGAAACATGGTGAAAATGTATTGTTTTTGCTGTAGACAGCATTTCCTGATTTATGGAGTGATGAAAGATTTCCAAAATCCCCTCAACAAAATGAAACAAGAATTTTGAATCTGGCTTTATCCAGTGTTCAGATTTCTGTTCTGAAAAGTATGCAAATTAGTGCATATTTAATTAGATACCGCCTCATATTTAAACATAACATTTCAGAAAACCTGTAATACAAAAATGCTTTCAATTATTTATGTAATAAATCAACTTGGGAAATATGGTAATATCTAGATAATTTTTTGACCCTACACAACAATATTTTTAAAGGGGTCATCGGATGCAAAATTCACTTTTGTTGTTGTTTGAACATAAATGTGTGTTGGAAGTGTGTGTACACAGAGATAGTCCATTATAAATGTAAAAATAGATTTTGTATGGTGTTCATTGTGTGTTATAAATAATCATATTCTTAACCACAAATGCGTAAGCATTATAATGTATTATAATTGTTGTTATGATTATTTATAAGATGATATAAAATATT